CCCCCCCCGGGCGCCCGCCTGGGGGTCCCGTTCCTGCTGCACGACCTGCTGGGGGCACAGGAGCTGCTCAGGTACCCACCCCCCCTGACCCGGGGGTGACCCCTGACCCCCCTTGTGACCCCCGTGACCTCTGACCCCTCATAACACCCCCCTGCCCACCCGCAGCGTCCCCACCCCCGCGGGTCCCCTCCTGCGATTGGCCGAGCCCTGACTGGACCCTTCCCAGGATGCACCGGGGCGACCGAAGGGGCGTGACCCTCGTTCAGCCACGCCCATCCGTCCAGGAGAGGGGGTGGGGCCACAACAGCCCCCGCCCCTTCAAACGGGCGCCACTCTGGGTGTGGCCCTGCCTTAGCCCCGCCCCCCCGCGGGCGGGGGGGGGTCTCCCCGGTTTGGGTGGGAGCAACAAAAGTGCAATAAAGCAATAAAAGCGATAAAAACGGTAAAATATATTTATTTTTACTGATGGAGTTCGTGTGTGGACCCTACACGTGGTGTTGCCCTTTTAAGACCAGGCTCCGCCCCCCCCTGACAAAAATGCAACAAAACCAATGGAAACAATAAATTGGTTTTTTAATTTTTCAACTTATATTAGAATATTAAATAAATAATAATAATAATTAGACTAATAAAAGTAATAATAAAGAATTATAAAATAAATAGTTAAATTATTAGATTAATTAATTTACTTTAAAATTTATTTTAAATTTATTTTAAATGTTTAATTTATTATTTACTATTTATTAATCATTAACTATTTATTAATCGTTAAAACGGATTTATTTTTTTGCGGGCCCCACACGCGCGGCGTCGCCGTTTTAAGACTGAAAACCACCGGTCCCCGTTGCCCTTTTAAGGACGGGCTCCGCCCTCGCGGCGGTCACGTGCCCCGCGGAGGGGGGGGTTGTCGGCGACACTTCCGGGTTCTCTTAAAGGGGCCGCGATGCTCCGGGCGCTGCTGCCGCCGCTGCTGCTCGCGGTGGGGGCCGCGGGGCGCTGGCAGCCCACCCCCGACACGGT